TTCTATTATTACTATTCCTGATGGGAACGAAACCGCGAATTACTTGGTAATCTCCTCTCTAGCATAGCTCTGCTCCTTAATAAACCACTTAGATACTTCTCAATTTTGCTAGCGATGCCGAACTTCGCCGGGATATCGAATGTTCGTGGCCGAGGACACCGTCCAGTCACTATGGAGCAGTATGTAACAATGAGGTGATGAGAAAAAAGTTTTCCCACAATATTCATAAAATACTCACTTGAATTCCACATATTGCGATACCGACGAAACTTTTCGATATCTCCTGCTCGTCGTCCCAATTGATGTCCGTATCGTTATTGAAAGCAGTCTGCAATTATATAGTGATAATCGTTTATTTTCAGACCATGTTTTCCCTAATATGATCGCATCCTTCAAATTCTACATTCTTTCATCTAAAACGTTCACCTCAGTTCGATCGGCATCTCGTGCGTTCCTACGAATGTAATCCTTGTAGGCGACACAAATCGTCCGCAAACCATTGTTAGCCATTTGTGAGACTACGGTGGTTGTGATCTCCTTTAATCGATCAGCATCAAAGACATGTGGTTTCCCGTCGGATCCGATCAAATAAGTACATCTGGAAACCGTTTTTCTTCAGCACTTTTTCGAAAGGCTTAGCTGTCCATAGTACTAGCATCATCATCTTTGGTCGCTTTTCAAAATCATACACAGTCGGCTAGTATGCACTGGTTCATTGAGAAACGTTTAGAATTTTTTACAACATTTTTCATAAATCTCGGCCCCGCCCATACTCTCAATGCCTGCGCTCTAGCTTGGAAGCGGTCTTACCTGGCAAGGATGATCTCACTGGCTCCTTTGCAATAGACGCGATATCCAACACTATTTCCGTTCTCGATCAAATCGATCACAGTCATCATACATTTTCGGGATGAATTGAACGTGTAGACCTAAGGAAAATGTTCTTTTTTGTGTTTGTTCTTAAAACGGTGCTGAAATTACTGTACAAATCTCCAGTGGATCAATAAAGCTTTCTACTAACATTCCAAGTTCAGCTCTATCGGCAGATAGCATAGGCGTTCATGTAGTTGATAAAGTTAAGCAATGTTGTAAAAAAAAAAATAAACGTTCTTCTAATTAATTTTCTCCTCTTCGGTCAACATTTCTCTTCAAATATAAGTGTAGCAAACACTACCTTGCAATGAATTGCACCTTTTTAGATTGGCCAGCTGACTTTATGTTGTTACGAAAAAAAATTAATACTCCCACGACCGACTTTCTTTTAACAGTGTCTGTGATAACACTGTGATGACGGTGATCGTCCATGTGTTACTCTGTGCGCCGTACCGGCGCGCTTAAATTCGTGCTTCGGAGGCTTTAGGGGTTTTTCGGCGGTTAGATCTAATTGCACGATTTGGTGGGGCGTGCACTTCCTCTCCCTCTGTGAGAGGCTCAGACTGCGTCATTACAGGGTTTTTCCAATCTCTTAGGGGATTTTTCGACTTGTTTCTGGAAAA